TTCGTTCTTCCCACATCTGCCATTTGGGTATGAATATAGCCTGGAGGTTCGCTCGCCTTTTTCATAGGAAAATCTTGCTTCGTCGTAATCCCTTTTTCAAAGAACTATCAGGCTTGGAAGAAGGTTCGATGTGAGTCGTGTAAACTTCGGGAAATGTGTGGGGCCCTTCTTCTAGAACGTCCGACAATGTGAAGATGGACATTCCCACTTTGTGGGCCGGAGAATAGTTTTCTGCTACATCAGGCACCTTAATGTGTATTGGCGATGATGCGTCTCGGATAGGAGAGGTATAAGCATTAATTTCCCGAGGTAGACGCGACAGAGGGTCCACGTTTGAGTGTTTGCGTCCCGGTCTATGTAGACTGGTGGCTACCACTTTTATGATTAATCTATGACAACTGTCCAAGAGGCAATGTGTATACTGCCACAGGTTTTATGAAAGGCATCTCATTAGGATTGCCCATCTATTTCATTCAATTTATCACTGGAATCTTTCATAAGATATAGGCAAGAATAATGAGATATCATGAGGATATTTCATTAAGCTCTTTGGCCCTTTCATTGCCATTTCATAGACTTTTCATTAGGATATTTCATTAGGCTCCTTTGCTTTTTCATTGCCATTTCTTAGACTTTTCATTAGGATATTTCATTAGGCTCCTTCGCTTTTTCATTGCCATTTCTTAGAATTCTCATTAGGATATTTCATTAGGCTCCTTCACCTTTTCATTGCCATTTCTTAGACTTTTCATTAGGATATTTCATTAGGCTCCTTCGCTTTTTCATTACTATTTCTCATAAGGATATTTCATTAGGTATTTGGCCCTTTCATTACCATTTCTTAAACTTTTCATTAGGATATTTCATTAGGCTCCTTCGCTTTTTCATTGCCATTCCTTAGAATTTTCATTAGGATATTTCATTAGGCTCCTTCGCTTTTTCATTACCATTTCTTAGAATTTTCACTAGGATATTTCATTAGGCTCCTTCGCTTTTTCATTACCATTTCTTAGAATTTTCATTAGGATATTTCATTAGGTTCTTCTCATTAGAATATTTCATTAGGCTTCTTGGCGCTTTCATTAGGATATTTCATTATGCTCCTTGACACTTTCATTATGATTTCT